ACACACACACACACATACAGGTGTGAGACTGTTCTAACATATCAAAAGACAGCACTTCCAACTGAGCAACCATCTAAATCATTGCCTTAGCACACAAACATCCCCAAACACACTGCTATGCACACAAACAAAAACATACCCCCCACCATACCAATGCAGACGCACGCACACACACACAGACTCACACAGCTTGTATGCTGAAAACATCTGGTTATAATTACAAACACAGCGGAAAGGCAAGCAACAGCTTTTGTTGCCTCTGGTCCTTGAGGGGCGGTGTTTGTGCGTGTGTGTGTCAGTGCGTGCGAGTGTGTTAAGACTGTGTGTGTGTTTGTTTGGTGGAATGAGAACAAATGGGACCATTATTTAAGCAGGGGGCAGAGAGAGAGTGGGCGAAGGGAAACACAGTTATTATACTACTATTTGATGATGCTGAAACTATGCTTATTTTGTTCATTACAAAGTCAGATGGAGCAGTGCCAGATGGGTATTGATTAGATTAACACAATGTTGTAAAAATGCAACAGTCTATTACAACAATTTTCCACTGAATAAACCAGCGTGACTAAACACTGGTAATTTCCAAGTAATATCAGGCACACAAATTGCAAATACTTAATTACATAGTGAATATTTGTAAAATGACTTAAGCTTGGCTTAACTTACTCACCCCTATGCCTCCACATGGTAACCTCACAAACATGGGACTCACTGAACCTGAAACGCAAGGAAAGATATTGTTAATCAGAAAAAATAATAGAGAAAGAAAGAGCGAAAGGTCACCAGGTGAAGAGGTAAGGCACAATCGGCTGTGTGACCCTCAAACTGAGCATTTGACTTTCTGACCTAATCTAACAGCGAGCGTATACAGGGGCATGCTTTAACTGGGCAAGGTGAACAAGAAAAAATCTTATTGCCCTGATAATCAAAACCCTCTCCTTCTTCCGGGGGGAATCAAGATTTTCGGCCAAAAAGAGATCTATTTTTTCATTGAAAGTGAAAATGAATAAACTTCAGTTTTCTGACAGGTCAGAACATAAACAGAAACTAGCTGGTCTGGAAAATTCAGTTTCCTCTAAATGACAAAACCTTTATTTTTTTATGTCCATTCAAGCAGCATACACAACTTTTTATGTAAAACAGATCAAACTTTTTATTTCAGCAGATGTTGAATTCTGCTACCCACTGCTTATTCTGTTAATACATTTTTCAAGAAATGTTTCAATGTAAAAACTTGTAAAAAATTTTCTAAAACATTAAACTAATCTCAATCCAGTGTTGACAACTGGATGAGTGTACAGTTTCGTGAGTACGACGGACAAAAGACGACAAAGACCTCTGAATCTCAACGGGCAGAGCGTGGCACTCAAGTGTCATTCAGCCGAAATACCTGAGCTCAACAGTGTCTGACAAAAAGAATCAATCCCGAACCACATATTTAATACAGTGTCTATGAATACTTTAATCCCTGACTAGTTGCCACCTCTGCGGGTTTATAACAGTTTGCATTTCCACTTTCTTCTTCTCCATTTTCATTTCTTTATACGTGCAAAACCACCTGTATGTTGAGCCTTACACAGGAGTGTCTGGTAATTCTCCTGTGTAAACAGTAATAACAAGGGAAATTTATTTCTCCAATGGAATGAAAGCTAAGATGACCACTGGGGTTTGCCCATTAGGTTTTTGAACATACACTCGCACATACACACACAGAGACAGCCTCGGCTACACCTGCACTTTAAGCCACAAAGACCAGACCTAAGTGACTAAGCAGCCTGTGCGACTTTTAGTTAACAAGCTTCAGCGGGTCCTCACCATATCGTAACACCTCCAGGACTTTATTAGATTGGACCTTTTGTTATGGCACGGTTTAAGCATTAAAGCAGATTCCTTTAGCAGACACTGCAGATTCTTAGACTGAGATCTAGTCTGCCTTATGTAGCATGTATACATGCAGATTGATAAGTACCTGTGTGTAAAATACTGTGAAGCACTAAAGTATTACTATTTACAGTATCCTAACATTTATTTATTACAGTGTTAAAGCTTCCACATTTTAGTAGACTTATTACGATTAAGCAGGTGGACAACAGCATGGCTGGCACTCAGATTACCTACAACTATATACTGTAGCTGCTGGATCAGCTCAAGTTTGTAATGAGCGAATGTGTTATTGTGTGTCTTACAGTCTAGTTTCTGGCGCAGTGGGTTGGTTCCGTACAGCAGGACATGGGCTTCAGAGTGGACCGTCTGTAACTCCTCCAGTGAGGCCTTCCTACCTCGGATACACTGGTCACAGAGTAAGATAGAGGAGAACACACAGATAGAAATAGACAAGATGGAAAGAGAAAAATAATGCATTTGGTTAAAACTCTCAGAGTCACACACATCACATTGTTTCATGTTTAGGATACCATGTCCCGCACTCAGGAAGAAGTAGTGCACATAGGGAGGTCCAATGGTGTCTGCATGTGTAAATCAGAATTTAGGAGGTGAAACTTGTTCATTTCAAAGCCATTACCTCCAAAATGCATTTATTTTATTGGTGAAGCCAAATGTCAAGAGAAAATGGCCACACACTGCCCCCTTTTGGTCATCATAACAACCTGCACTTCAGAGTTGAAGAGTGGCATGTTGTACTATTAACCTTTGAGGTAAAAGTATTTTACTTTAACGTTTTTTTTAACAGAAAGAAAGAAATTACAGTATACAGTAGGTACACAGAGGATAAGAGACAAAATCACCACTGACACGTTAATAATAATGCTGTTTATAGATATACTTTATTGATCCCAAGCTGGGAAATTGCAGTGTAGCAGCAACATTACACACAGTAAAGAAAATATCGTTATTGTTGCGTCTGTATAAAAACCATGCAAGTTATATTATGTACTACCCTTAAATAAGCACACTGTGTATTCTTATTTTTAGTTTCGGCCTTTCTCACAGTTTACATTCAAAGACTGAAAGGATCATTTACTTTTGAATGCCAGGTACTTATCAGTTTCTCTCAACTGTTATGATACAGTGCATGCCCCATACTATAACCACATTCAAGATTTTACAGGAAGATGGAGAAATGCAGCGTACATAGTGTAATTTACATTTGATCTATAGTTTTATATGTATTGTATCTATCCAACACTATGTCTTGTAATGTTATGTCCATTGGGCCATACCTGTGGTCAAACGTAACTGTGGCCTTACCTCGCAGTGCGCCCTGAGGCCTGTTTCTTGTAGTCGGGACCAGATACTCTGGATGCGGCCAGCGTGCTCTGGATGACTGGTTGTGTTCCCACACATACACTGGTGCTTCTGCATCAAAGAGTCATACACCAGACCTGCAAAACACACATACCACCACACACAAACACACACTGAGTAATTGTATATATTTGACAAGAACAGGAACAGTTGTCACAACAAGATTCCTATAATGACACCACATGCCTAATGGTGTGATTATCTATGGCACCTGCTTCATCATAAACAAAAGGTCATGTGGAGAGGATTAGTTGATGTTGAAATTATACTTGTAGAGGGTTATGTCATGAATGTACACAGCCATTGTATGATGGCTCATCATGGTGTGTGGTTTCTTCTAACCTGCAATCAGCAGAATGAAAGTGTGTTTCTAGATTGCTGTTTGCTTCTCTACGCTATGACCGATCGCTGTGTCAGAGTAGTACTCACATCAATGAAAAGCAACATCTTCATATTTAGCTGCAGTGTGTGTGTGTATGTGTAAGAACCATGATATTATACATTTTCAACAGACCTGTTGTAAATCGAGGTTTGGCAGCTGGCTCCTGTACTACCATGGGGAAGGAGGCGGAGGCTGGAGAGGACTGAGCCCTGGAGAGGGGGCGGTGACCGGCGAAGCTGACTGATAACCCGGCTGCTTCCATGGAGGCTTGGTAGTTCCTCAACTGGTGGATCCGCTGCTGCTCTAGCAGCAGAGCCTGCTGCTTGCACACACAAGCACAGACACAGTTAAATGTACTGTATGTCTGCTTGTGTGCAATATCTTTCTCTCGCCAGAAGATGGCACTAGATACTAGTAAATTCCAAGCAGCTGTAATACACAATATAAGCTGAATTCACAGGAGTTTATTTTGTGTTACATAGTGACTTACTGCTATTTTGTTCTGTACAGTACCACCAAAATAAATACCATAAATATGGTACAATATCTGTCATATGTTAAAAGAAGTTTTAAAATAAACCTTTGGTTGAAAAGACCGTACTTAAAGCTGTATAGATAATGGATACTATTAATATAAAACCACTTTAATCCCAACATGACTTCACATAACTATTTCTTTCTTCATGTAACTACAAAGGAAACCACCTAGAACACTAGCCAAATAATAATCAATCAAACTGCTTACCATACAGCAAGCAAAGTGAGAAATCAATTTTTGTAACGTGTACTTAATAATGATTTCATTTGAAAGAGTCTTGTGTAAGCGCTTGGAAATGTGGACATTGGAAATATGTGGGGGATCTTTCCACTCAAAAGAGTCTCACCAAGCAGTCCTGTTGTTTAATTCTGATGGGCATGTCTGCTTACACTATGGGCGCCATGGCGACAATGAGAGGAGTGCCTGATTGAATTTGGCTGAGCGGACAGCAGGGATGGGCTATAGACAGATGAGGACATGGTGTCCTGACTGAGTATGGGTGTGCGTGTGTGTGCGCCCACAGATATCGAGCAATATACAGATAGAGAATATGTATGTATGTATGTATGTATGCACCCATGGACAAGTGATGTAAAATTGGAGACACTGTGTGCAATAGAGTGTTTTTGTGTGGGTGTACAGTGTGTTGAATGCACGAGAATGTGATTGTCCATATGGAGTCGTGTTAGGGAGTAGTGTGGAGGAGGCACACATGCCCCAAGCCATTCATAGAAAAGACACTACTCTTGCATTAGTAGAACATGTGTAAGTATTTTTTGCGTGATTTGGGAGTAAAACGTGTTAATATAGCTTAAAATATGCCGAAGAGTGGGCTGGAAAGACTGTCAGGAAGGATCAAATGTAGAGTGTAATGTTTCAGTCAGTCACTGCTGGCTCCATCTGTCACTGCTGTCAGATAATTCTCATCCATTTTCCTTAAAACCAGTAAGATTCCTCTATAGTGTACTTGATCTCCCTGTACTCGTCCTTGTCCTCACCTCCTCCACCCTGCATCCTTACCTGTCGGAACAGGAAGTCCTTCTCGGCCTGTCTTTCTCTCTGCTCCCTCTCCTCCTGCTCTTGGGGGTCTGGGGGCTCCTGCTTGATGACCAGCCCTCGCAGAGGCCCCGTCTCCTGCACAGACGTAGAGGAGGAGGACGAGGAGGAGGAGGAGAGCCCTTGGTGCTCCCTGAGTTCCTCTTCTGTTTCCTCGGGGTGACTTTGGTGCTGCCTGACTGGCCCTGAGGCGCTGGAGCTTGCACTCGAGACCTGATCACTGGGCTTGGACATGATCTGGGGTACAAAAAAATAGACGTTCAGGTGAGATGTTTCACAGTGCATTGCTTTGATTGGGGGTCAGATTTCCAATGGGTTACGCTGGAACACTCTCGGGTAAAAACTGCGTCAGGTCAATATTGAAGAATGAACTGATACTGGTATGGCATATAGCAAGAGAGAAAAAAAAAAAGAACCAGTGACTGCAAACAGCAGAATTGGACACATAGAACCATGTATAAAATGAAAAATGTTATATACTGTCAAGAGCACAGTTTTTGTTTCAGGGGGTGGACACAATGAAATAATATAAAATTATTATATATGTATTAGATATTTGAGGCTATAAAAAAGAATGATCATAATATCAGAAAAAAATTAGGAAACCAGAACCCAATAAGACAAAAACATACAGATATATGTCTGATACATCGCTTTAACACATGCTGGTCAACTGAAGATGTTTTTCATTCCAAAAATAGATGACTGATTTAGCACAAAAAAAAACTTTGTAAAAGGACCTTAAGTTTAACCAAACAAAAGCTAACATTAGCCAAGTGTTGTACTTTTTGTACACAGGGAGATAAACCGGACCTGTACTCTGAACTCTGATGGGTTATTTATTTATTAAAAAACTCCTCAAATAATTTCCATTAACCTACTATATTTGAAATATATTTACATACTTAGGTAGTTTAACTTTAACCTATATGCCTGGGACTGAACAAGAGGAGACAACTGAGCAAAGAACATGAGGGACAAAGAGAGGAAGAATTGTAGAAGAGTGATTGTGGGAATCTTGTTGTGGCAGCTGTCCCTGTCCCTGTCCCTGTCGTCAAAGACCTCAACCTTGATGTGTAGGTCATGATTGGAGTGGACCACTGTTTGTGCATGGGACACACACACACACAAACAGGCACACACACAAAGACACACACACACTTGGCTGGCATATTGCCCAGGGAACAGTCCATTGACGTCAGAGAGCAGGCTCTTGCCTCATCCCAGTCCCTCTTCTCCAAACAAACTCAAAACATTCATCCACTCCTGTTACTCTGATTCTCACTCTTCCTTTCTCTCTTGCTTTGCTCTCTCTTTCCCCCCTTCCAGACCTCATTTTTAAACAGAGAAAATAGTTGCTGGGATGTGAACCATGAGGGGGGCAGACACTACATAAGCCTGTTGAACCAGCTGCAATACAGAAAGAACAGGAGGTGGAGAAGGGAAGATTGTATACACAAACACTTGACACTAGTTGACTCTTGTCACTATCTGTCTGTGTCACACACTTCCACAACAATATCATGTAAGTGAGTATACCCCAGAATTTGTCTTTGCTGTCTCAGGTAATTAATGGTAGGCAGCAGGCTCGGGTTGGAACCGTTACAAGATTATTTCTCTGCTGCCAACATGTCCGACTGTTAAAGCCAACTTTTAGGTTAGCAGGAAGGGCCCCTTTTCATTGCTGACTCAACTAAAAAATGTGAACAAGGAAAGGATGGAAGGTCGTGGATGATTCATGTTTTACAAAGTGGTGGATGTCCGATGGTGAACAGGATAGATCAACGAAACTAAACACGGGTCGCCCTGGTAGCTCACCTGGTTGAGCTTGTGCCCCGTGTACAAAGGCTTCCAACCCATGGCACTTTGCTGCATGTCATCCTCTTTCTTTCTCCCAACTTTCCTGTCACTCTTCAGCTGCTTCTATCAAATAAAGGCAATAAAAAGCTCAAAAAAAATAATCTTCAAAACACCATACCATACCACTGGGACATTTGTAAGGATAGTCTGTGATACTAAACTCATACATACTGCCTGTGATGGTCTATTTTTTATTATCTCTATAATAAAAACTGGTATTGAATTCATTCAGCAGACATATGCTGTTATACTTTCTCATGTTAAATAGAAAGTGTTTTGCAAGTGTATTGTTTTCCAGAACCTGACTTTATTATGCAGAAATCAATATTATTTCTTGGGGGTACTTCACCATTTTGCATTCTGCTGACAAAACAAAGTAAGAACTAGCTGGGGACATGTAATTTATTTATATTACATTTTGTAAGAATGGGACTCCTGGGTGTATTTCCAATGATTGTAGATTGTATATGTCAGCGAGCTGGATTTTTGCAAATTAGGGAGAAACAAGTATTTGAGATGGCTGCATTTAGGTGTCTGTAGATGCCACTGTCAGAACCTTTTTTGCAGTGCACTTAATAACGACATTAATAAGTTGCCAGGTTATAGTGCCAATGCTTTGACTGTGCATTATCTGTGCCACTATTACACAACTCACTCGTTCAAGGTTATTCTTACTTAATCACTGATTTTTGCTTTTAAATAAACACAAAGGTTTGGCTTTGTGCTGACACACCACTGAATGAAGCAGGTTATGCTGCCCGACTTATCTCAGAGAGTAAGTCAGTGAGTTCCTTACATATTCCAGGTGATATTTGGAGTATGGGTTACATTCTTGAAATGACAGGTTACAACACTGTGGAATGGGGCAAATTATTTAAGGTAATTGAACCTTTCGAGCTATACACAATGTTGCCTGGCCACAGTTAACTGAACAACCACCATCCTCTCTGTGTCTCCACAACAACACCTTCAACTTGTCAAGTTAATTTAACACTTGAAAAGCTCAACAGAATTCAAAAAAGGACAATTGTGATAATTCCAACCTGTGTATCAAGAAATGCTTCAAGTATGTGTAAGGAAATGATTAAGCAAGAGATAAAGCACACTCTGGACACACTAACTCCAAAGACGAATTTAAATTATTCAAACCTGCTACAGGCTATCTGGGAGGAAACCAGAGCAGTTAGAGGAAACCACACTATCACACAAACTCTACAGGCCTCAGCTGGCCAGTAGAATCAAACCTGTCCCTGTTTTCTGTGAGGTAAATGGGTGACCCTCTGTGCCACCGTGCCAGCAAGCCCATATTCATAAATATCTAAGGGTTATATTATTATTGCAGAGTGCAGAGAGGAAGTGCAGGGAATAATATACTGCAAATTGCAGGTACATGTTTTTATACCTGTTAGGTGCAGATTCTCTCAGTGATTGAACAGAACGTGAGCAGCTTTAAAACAGATGGGAGTAGCTTACAGTGGTAGTAATTCTGTTGATTTAAACATGTGGTTAGCTTTTCTGTTATTATACACCTTTAATTTGTCCAAACTAAATCAAAGCATTGTTTAGGAAAGGGCCAAAGGTTTCCCTTTGTTGTCTGTGAACACATCTTTTGCCCATGTGATACTGCACTTGCTATCTGCTCAATACTCTCTGTGTCAGAAAGATTGTGCAGACTGTTTTCTTTCCTTCTTTTTTTTC